GCTTGGCCTTCTCGATGACCATCTCGCTCACCTGCACGTGGCGGGCGGCGGGCTCGTCGAAGGTGCTGCTGATGACCTCGCAGTTGGCGCCCTTTACCTCCCGCTCCATGTCCGTGACCTCCTCGGGCCGCTCGTCGATGAGCAGCATGATCACGTAGGCGTCGGGGTAGTTGGTGAGCACGGCGCGGGCCATCTTCTGCATCAGGATCGTCTTGCCGGCGCGGGGCGGGCTGACGATCAGGCCACGCTGGCCGAAGCCGATCGGCACGATCATGTCGACCACCCGCATGTCCACCTCCTCGGGGGTGGTCTCCATGCGGATCCGCTCGTCCGGGTGGCACGCGGTGAGGTCGTCGAACGAGACCTTCCGCGACAGCAGGTTGGGGTCCTGGTCGTTGATGGTCTCGACCCGCAGCAGCGCGAAGTAACGCTCGTTCTCCTTCGGCGGGCGGATGGCGCCGGCCACCGTGTTGCCGTTGCGGAGGTTGAAGCGGCGGATCTGGCTCGGCGACACGTAGATGTCGTCCGGGCAGGACAGGTAGTGGTAGTCGGGGCTGCGGAGGAAGCCGAACCCGTCCGGCAGGATCTCCAGGGTGCCCTCGCCGAACATCAGGCCGTTGAGCCGCACACGCGACTTGAGGATCTTGAAGATCAGCTCCTGCTTCTTTAGGCCCGCGCAGTCCTCGATGCCCTCGGCCTTGGCCACCTCGAGCAGGGCCGGCATGGTCTGCTTCTGCAGCTCGGCGACGTGGATGTTGCTGTCGAGCTCCTTGGCCTTGCCCAGGGCCGGGCCGGCGCGGCGGACCCGCTCGGCGGCCTTGTCGAGCTCTTCGGCCAGGGAGAGGGGCTCTTCGCGGTCGAGGCGGCGGAGCAGTTCCTGGTCGATGTAACGGCTGTTGTCGCTGCCTCCGCTGGTGGTGCGGTGGGGGCGGCGGTGGTGGGGCGGGCGCACGCCGTTACGCGGCCCGCGATTGCTGGCGTCAGCCATGATCGAGTTTTTCACTCCTGAATAGGAAGAGTGGAGGGGGCCGGCGTGTGAGACCGCCGGCCGGTAGGTGGGGGGAGGGTCAGGGGAGTCTGAGCTGCTTGTCGCCCGCCGCCAGGCCAGAATAGGCCCGTCCGATCAGTTCGCTCAGGTCGCCACTGGTAGGCCTAGTATGACAAAAATGGTCGCGTTGGGGATGTTAATTTTGGGGATTGTCCCAAAGGAAGTGTGTATCCGAGCTGCGGATTAGCGAAGGCGCCGCTAGCCGCTGACGCGCGGAGCGACCTCATTGCACCAGAAGGCCTCTACGCTGCGGCGGAGGGACTCTAGGTCCCCGTCGTTGTCGATGACGTGGTCGGCGCGCAGCCGCTTCTCTGCTATCGGCAGCTGCGCCGCTTCCCGTTGAGCCAACTCGCCGGAGCCCCATCCCCGCTGGGCCGCCCGGGCCCGCCGCTGGTCGGGGTCGGAATCGACAAACAGGACCAGGTCGCAGTCGGCGGCCCAACCGGCCTCGATCAGCAGCGGGATGTCGAGCACCGCCACGGACCCGCCGGACGCGGCGTGGTCTGCAATCGCCTGCTTCAGCTTTGCACGGACGCGGGGGTGCACGAGCTGTTCCAGGAACCGGCGTTCGTCGGCCGCGTCGGGCGAGTCGTCGAACACCCGCTTGGCTACCTGCCGGCGGTCGAGAGCCCCGTCCGCGTCGAGGATTCCAGGCCCCCAGCGCTCGGACAGCTGGGCGAGCACGCCCGGCTCGGCGAGCGCCTGGTGAGCGAACCGGTCGGCGTCCAGCACCACCGCGCCCTCCTCCGCCAGCAACTGGGCGACGGTCGATTTGCCGCTGGCGATGCCGCCGATGAGGCCAATAGTGAGCAAGGCAGTCTTCTGGGGTCTACAGGCGACCAATAAACGCAGAGCCAACGAGGCAGGCGATCCCTCCGCCGGCGATGAAACCCGTCAAGGCTGCCGCCCGATCGATAGGCGGCAGCTTACTCCATCGGGTCAAGGCAATGAAGCTTGCCACCGCGCCGACCACCGCAAAGCAGACGACGGCAACTCCGAGCGACTCTCCGGCTGCATCCCTTTGAGGAGGTCCGGCAATCAACAGGCACAGGATCAGAATACTGGCGGTCGACGCAACCCCACCCAGCCAGGCCAACGCTCGCACGCTGGGTGAGACCCCCGTCGCGACCCCTTCAGGGGATTCTGACTGAGGCGATCGGTAGGGGTTCTCATCGGCAGGCATCTTTCTTACCCGCGGAGGCGCCGCTATCCCACCAGAGCGCTCTCGATGGCAAGCCCGGGCCCGAAGCCCAGCATCACGGTGGGGCCGGCGCCGTGGCTCTGCAGCAGCTCCTTGAGCACGAACAGCACCGTCGGCGACGACATGTTGCCGTACTTGCTGAGCGTCGCCCGCGACGCCGAGAGCGCGCTCGGCGGGAGCTTGAGGGCCGACTCGCAGGCCTCGAGGATCTTGGGCCCACCCGGGTGGACCGCCCAGTTTTGCACGTCGGCGACCGTCAGGTCGTGGCGGGCGAGCCACTCGTCCATGCGGGGCGGAAGCGTCTGGTCGATCAGGCCGGGGACCTCCGGCGAGAGGGTCATCTCGAAGCCGTGGTCGCCGATGTTCCAGGTCATCGCGTCGGCGGAGTTGTCCGCGACGTGCGACCAGTTGTCCCGGATCGGGAGCCCGCCGCCGGAAGCGGCATCGGCGCCGCGGACCACCAGGGCGGCCGCACCGTCGGCGAACAGCGAATTCGACACAATCCGCTGCGGCGTCCAGTCGTACTGGTAGTGCAGGCTGCAGAGCTCCACCGCCACCAGCAGCACCGTGGCGGACGGGTCGGCTTCCGCCAGCGACCGCGCCACGCGGAGGCCGTTGAGCGCCCCGTGGCAGCCCATGAATCCGACGTGCGTCCGCCCCACCCCCGCGGCCAGCGGCAGGCCTTGGATGAGCGAGATGTCGAAGCCCGGCGCGTAGAAGCCGCTGCACGAGACCGTGACGAGCTGGGTGACCTGTTCGGCCGCGACGCCGGCGTCGGCCAGGGCGTCGGCGGCGGCCCGATGGGCCAGCACGCTGGCGTTCGCGCGGTAGGACTCCATCCGGTCGGCAGTCGACGGGCCGTTGGGGTTCTGTTCGCTGGCGGGGTCGTAGTACGACTGTCGCACCGGCTCGCCAACCTCGGACGAGGCCTCAAGCAGGACGCTGTGGCGGGACATGATGCCGGCGTTCTGGTAGACGCGCTCGGCAAAGTTCCGCTGGCCATTGGTGGCGCGCGAGGTGGCGAGCGCGTGCTGTGTGGCGTCCGCTTGCGTGACCCAGTGTTCGGGCAGGGCCAGCCCGATCCCGTCTATCGATGCGCCCATCCGGCGATCTCCTTGTGGCGCTCCGCTGGGGAGCTGATTCGTTGCGCTGCGCGAACGCCGAGAGAAGGCCAACGCTCTACCAGACGCATGGCCAGACGGGTGAGTCGAGGTCGTCTAAGCAGCCAGGCTAGGCGTGAGCAGGCCCGCTGACGCGACCGCACGGCCCTAGTGTAGGTCGATTGCCACTGCGAGGCTATCCTCGGAGACCACCGGTCGATGGCCTGGTCGGCAATCCGGCCTGCCAGCAGGCTCCCCTCCAGGGCGGCGGCCATGCCCTCCCCGGTGAAGGGCTCGACGTAGCCGGCGGCGTCGCCCACCAGCAGCAGCCGGTGGGCCGCCACCGTGCCGCAACGCTGGGAAAGCGGCCGGGTGCCGCGCCAGGACGCTTGATCGAGGGCCTCTTCGGGGGCGACCCCAGCCTGTTTGAGGATGCCGGCGATGACCTTGGCCGGTTTCGCGCCATCGGTGAGCGCTCGGCGATCAATCGCCGCGGCCACGCTGATGCGTCCTTCTTCGCAGAGGGAAAAGCCGACGTATCCGTCACGTCCTACCACCATCTGCAACGCATCGGCGGGGCGCAGTTTATGCAGTGCTGAAGCGGGCAGCACGGCGCCAAGGCCGATCCTTGAGTTGTTGGACACCTGCGGCTGCATCTCCCGCAGGTCTGTCAGCGACGGGCGGCCGAGGCCATCGCATGCCAGCACGACACGGGCTTGAACGGTCGTGGCGTTAAGTGCGTGCGGGGATCCTATCCGCACGCCGCGAGTGTCGCCGTCATTGGCCGGTAGAACCTGAGCGGGCGCGGCGTCCACGAACCGGACCCCCACGCCCACAGCCGCGTCGACCAACAGCTGGTCGATTGTCTGGCGTGTGACGGCCAGGCCTTGGGGGATCGGCATCACGAGGCTGCGGCCGCCGGCGTGCAGCTGCATCCGCTCGTAGGGAGCGGCGCCCGCTTCCTCGAGCAGGCCACCGAGCCCTAGCTGCTGAAACACGTCAATTGCCCGCGCGTTCAGGCACCCGCCGCAGACCTTGCCACGTGGGAACGGCTTGGCTTCGACCAGCAGCACACGGCGTCCCCGCTGGGCGAGCTGGTAGCTAGCCGCCGCTCCGGCAAGGCCCGCGCCGATGACTACCGCGTCCCAGACGCCTTGCAGGTCAAGATCGGCAAGCGGGGGGCGGGTGGTCACGTGGGTCGCCAAGTCATCAGGTACCGTTGGGGCCAGTGTCGCTGGTAGGCCGCACCGTCGAGCCCGGCCTGCGCGGCCAGGCCGAGCGCCTCGTCGGGGCGGAAGGCGCCCTCGACCGACACCGGTCCGTCGTTGTGAACCACCGGGCAGCGCGAAAGCAGCCGGCACCCGGTCCAGGCCAGCCAGTAGCCGGCCCGCGAGCGGACCAGGTCGTCCACCATGACGGCGGACGTGCACGCCGCCGCCATCCGGCGGAGCAGCGTGACCGCTTCGGTGTCGGTCAGGTGGTGCAGAAAGAGCGTGCAGAGCACGACGTCGTAGCTCTTCGGGAAGGCGGCTCTGATGGCGTCGTGCTGGTAGAAGGTTGTGGGACTGTCGATCCGCTCGGCGAGGTCACGTGCTTGGCTGATCGCCTGCGGGCTGATGTCACACCCCTCCACCGTCAGCCGAACGCCGCCGCGTAGCGGACGCGCTGCCAGCGTGCGGGCCAGATCGCCACTGCCGCAGGCCACGTCCAGCACGCTGAGACTGCTCACGCCGCGGCGGTTGGCTACTTGGGCCAACGCCCGCCTCAGGAATCGAGATGTCTGACTCCAGGCGTTGATGCGCCGCAGCCCCGCGTGCGCCGCGGTGTGAAGGTCTTCGTCGATCGACGGGTCATCAAGCCACTCGGGCGAAAGCACTCGCTGCATGTTGGGGTCTTGGCGCCTTGCTGTGGTTCACGGTGCGAACCTCCACTGTCAGCGACCGGCGTGGAGGAGTCAAGCTGATGGCGGCGGTCAGCACTCGGCCCAGTTGTCGCCGATTGCAAGGTCGACCCGCAGCGGCACACGCAGGCTCATCACCCCCTCCATCTCCTCGCGGACGAGGGCCGAGAGCTGGTCGAGCTCGGTTTCGGGGGCGTCGAACACCAGTTCGTCGTGGATCTGGAGGATCAGTTTGGACTTTAGGTTCTCGGACTTCATCCGCCGGTAGACCGCCAGCATGGCCAGCTTGATGAGATCGGCCGCGGTGCCCTGGATTACTGTGTTCACGGCGGTCCGTTCGGGCAGGTTGAGCTGCAGCGGCGCGGGGCGGTCGTCGAACAGCTGGCCCTTGGGCGGTTCGAACTTACGCACGCCGGAGATCGCCCGGCGGCGTCCGAGCAGCGTTTCGACGTGGCCCTGCTCGCGGCAGGCGTCGAGCGTCTGGTGCATGAACTCGCCCACGCCCGGGTACCGGGCGAAGTATTCGTTGATGAAGCGGGCGGCCTCGTCTTTGGGGATGCCGAGCGACTTGGCGAGCCCGAAAGCGCTCTGGCCGTAGATGATGCCGAAGTTGACCGCCTTGGCGCCGCGGCGCATCTCGCTGGTGACGTCATCTAGGTCAACGCCATTCACCTGGCTGGCGACCAGGGTGTGGATGTCCTGGTCCTCACGGAACGCGCGGCTGAGGGTCTCGTCCTCGGTGAAGTGGGCCAGCACCCGCAACTCGATCTGCGAGTAGTCCGCGGTGAGCAGCTTCCAGCCGGGCTCGCCGGCGGTGAACGCCGAACGGATCTCGCGCCCCTCGGCCGTGCGGATCGGGATGTTCTGCAGGTTGGGGTCGGAGCAGCTCAGGCGACCCGTCGCCGCCACGACCTGATTGAACGAGCAGTGAACGCGGCCCGTTTCGGGGTGGATCAACTCGGGCAAAGCGTCGACGTACGTGCCCTTGAGCTTGGCGTACTGGCGGTGCTCGACGATCAGCCTTGGCAGCGGGTGCTGCTCGGCCAGTTGCTCCAGCACGCTGGCGTCGGTGCTGGGGCCGGTCTTGGTTTTCTTGATTACCGGCAGACGCTGCTCCTGGAACAGCACCTCCGCCAGCTGCTTAGGCGACGCGATGTTGAACGGGTGGCCGGCGATCTCCTCGATCTCCTCGGCAAGCTCCTGCAGCCGCTCGGCGAACCGCTCGCTCAGCTCGCCCAGGCGGTCGCGGTCGACGCGGACGCCGTTCCACTCCATTTCGGCCAGCACTTCGATCAGCGGCGCTTCGACATCGTCGTTGAGCGTGGTGAGCTCCGCGTGATCGAGTCGGTCCTCCAGGATCGGCTGCAGCCGCAGGGGGACGTCGGCGTCCTCGGCGGCGTAGAAACCGACCTTCGCGACCGGCGCCTCGTCCATCCGCTTCTGGTTCTTGCCCTTGCCGATCAGCTCGTCGATCTTGACCGTGGTGTGGTTCAGGTACCGTTTGGCCAGGTAGTCCAGGTTGTGGGTCCGCTCGCCGGCGTCGAGCAAATAGCTGGCGACCATCGTGTCGAAGCGGATGCCGGCCAGGTTGACGCCCGCTCCCCGCAGCACCACGGCGTCGTACTTCAGATTCTGGCCTACCTTTGCGACATCAGGGTTTTCTATCACCGGGCGCAGCAAGTCGAGAGCGGCTTGCTCGTCGAGCACGGTGTCGCCGGCGGGCCCACGGACGGGCACGTACCAGGCCCGACCGGGCTCGGTGGCAAGGCTCACGCCAACCAGCTGGGCCTGACGCGGGTTGATGGCGGTGGTCTCGGTGTCGATCGACAGCCACTCCGTCTGGCTTAGCTCCGGCACGATGGCCTGCAGCTCTTCCAACGAGGTGATTGTCTGGTAGTCGCCCTCCCACTCGGATTGGGGCGGCTCATCGCCGCCGTCGAGTTCGGCGATCCGCTCCGCTAGGCTCCGGAAGCCAAAATCTGCGAACAGCTCGGCCAGCTTCTCCTGGTTGCGGCCGCCCACCTGGGTCGACGGCCAGTCCACCTCGATCGGAACGTCGCTGTCCAGCCTGACCAGGTCTCGCGAGAGCAATGCCTGATCGCGGAAGTTGCGGAGGTTCTCCTGGGTCTTCTTGCCGCGGGCCTGCTCGGGCTTGTTGAGGATGTCCTCCAGCGAGCCGAGATCGGTTAGCAGCGTGCTGGCAGTCTTGGGACCAATCAGCGGGACCCCGGGCACATTGTCGACCTTGTCCCCCACCAACGCTTGGAAGTCGACCACCTGCTCCGGCGTGATGGCCCAGTCGCCAAACAAAGCGGTGGCGTCGTACACCTGGTCCTTGCGGATGTTGTAGACCGACACGTGCTTGGTAATCAGCTGCCGACAGTCCTTGTCGCCGGTCACTAGGTAGCAGCGGGTCTGCTGCTGGTCGCACTGCCTGGCAAGGGTGGCGAGGATGTCGTCCGCCTCGTAGTTGGGGACGCTCATCACGGGGATCCCGAGCGCCGTGACGATCTCCTGGATCTTGGGGAGCTGCGCGCGGAGCTCGTCTGGCATAGCGCCCCGATCCGCCTTGTAGCCCTCGAACAGGCTGTGGCGGAAGGTGTCGCCTGGGGCGTCGAACGCGCAGATCAGCGAGGTGGGCCGCTTTTCCTGCAACAAAAAGAGGAGGTCCCGCGTAAACCCATAGACGGCGTTGACCTGTTCACCCCGGGGGCTGGTCATCTCCGGGATGGCGTGGAACACCTGGAATATCAGCGAGTGCGCGTCGACAACGTAGACCGTCCAGTCGGGTCCGGGGTGCGTCGTGGAGGTCCCGTCGGCCGTTGGCTCCGCCGTTGCGGGCGCGTCGGAAGCGGGAAGAATCTCGTCGTTCGCCATCGAAGAGCTTAATCGAGTCGCTGTGGCGGGGCGGTCACGGGTCTGTGGTGTCAGCGGGGCGAATGGCTGCATCGCAGCCCGTCGAGTCGCGGCCCACCGCAGTCGTGTGTCGCAGTCGCGCGGGAAGTAGCGGTGGGCCACGGGCCCCAGATCCGGCTGTGCCGGTTATATCCCGTTCGTTGACAGGCGCTAAGCCTCTAATTATTTTGCACTTATGCCAAATCGGGCAGGTTGTTCCGTGGGCGGGCCCCGAGTGGTTCCCGGCCGCCAAGGCTCGGCCTGTTCACCTACGCACCGGAACAAACTCCGCAGACGACCCGTCTTCTCACTGCGGGCAGCAAGACCCGTTGCCCGCCGAAACGCGTCCTAAGAGGTAGATGCATGGCTGCTCGCCAAGATCAAACACTGCAGATTATCACCATTATCTTGGCCGGTGTGGCCGTGATCTTCTTCGCGCTGACGGTGTGGATGTGGTCGAAGCTCGACACCTACGCGCAGGAGACCGAAGCCGCCACCACCAAAGAGCGCGAGACGCGCAACGCGCTGACGACCAAGCAGAACGAGGTCGACGCCTACAAGGAGATGATGGGGTACAAGCAGGCCGACACGCTGCAGGATATCCAGGCTCAGTTCGAGAAGGACATGGCCAGCTTCGGCGCCACGTTCGCTGAGACCGACCAGAAGTACCGGGTGATCCTCGAACGCCTCGACGCGGAAATCGACAACAGCGCCGAGCAGGAGAGTCAGGCGAAGCGTCGGCTCGAAGAAGCCGAGCGGGAGTACGCGGCCTCGCTGTCGCAGAAGGACCAGCAGATCGCCGAATACAAGAAGAGCGTCGACGCGGAAGCCGCCGAGACTGCCAAGCTCCGGCAGGAGGCCCAGGCAGCCCGCGCCGAGTTCAAGAAGACCGTCGACGAACTGGAGCAGACGCTGGCCAACAGCCGCGCGGCGTACACCAAGCAGCTCGATGAGACGAAGAACCAGCTGGCCTCCACGCAAGAGACCCTCAATAAGAAGGATCTGAGCCTTACCAAGCTGATGGAGGAGCGAGAACAGGGAGACCCGAGCTTCGAGGTGGCCGACGGCCGCGTGACGTGGGTTAACCAGCGTAATCGCACGGTCTGGATCAACCTGGGCGAAGCCGACTCGCTCCGCCCGCAGGTGACCTTCAGCGTCTACGAGCAGGACCTGGCCGACGCCGGCCGCAGCGAGAAGAAGGGCAGCATCGAGGTGGTCCGCCTGCTGGACGACCACCTCGCCGAGGCCCGCATTACCGGCGACAGCATCCGCCAGCCCATTATGCCCGGCGACCACATCTACAGTCCGGTCTGGCACCAGGGTAAGGCCATCCACTACGCCCTGACCGGCGACATCGACCTGGACGGCGACGGCCGCAACGACATTGACACCGCCAAAGACCTCATCCGGATGAATGGCGGGGTGGTTGACTCGGTGCTCGAGGCCAACGGTCAGAAAACCGGCGAGATGTCGGTCGCTACCCGCTACCTGGTCCTGGGCGACTACCCGAAGAGCGGCGCCGCTAACGCGGCGGAGAAGCGGAAAGGCTTCAAAGATATGGAGGAGGAAGCCGCCACCTACGGCGTCGAGACCATCACCCTGCAGGAGTTCCTCAACCAGATGGGCTACAAGCCACTGGACCGCACCACCGATCTGCGTGGCGGGGGGACAGACAGCTCCAAGGGCAAGTTCCGCGCTCGTTCGCCGTATGTCCCGATCGGGATCTAGCATCCGCCTCGCGGGGCGCCGCCTTCTACACGCGGCCGACCTCGGGAAACAACTTCTTGTAGAGCTGCTTAAGCGCTATCGGCTTCCTGGCCGCCTCCGGCGGCAGCGGGTTCAGGCGGAACGCGTCGGGGCGGAGAAACACCTCGGCCGGCTGGCGGACGCCAAGCGACTCGCCCAGTTCCCTTAGCGCGCGTCGCTCCCAGCGCGTCAGCCGGTGGGCGCGGCTAAGGTCGTTAAACAGCCGCCGCGGGTTCGGCTGACGCGACCTACCCTCCTGCCAGCGGGCGGCCGCGCGTAGCAGCCAGATCAGCGCGCCGGCGGCCAGCGCCGCCACCAGCAGCACCAGCAGTTCCTGCAGGTTGAATTCGGCGGCCTCGCCGCTGAAGCGGTCGCCGAGTCGCTCCCACTTATCGCGCTGCGCCAGCAGGGCCAGTTGGCTCATAGTGGGAACTCCTGCTGCAGGTGCTGCACCAACCCAGCAGCCAGGTCGATTGGCGCGAGCGGGGCGAGTGATTTCGCGGCGGCCTCGCGGACGGTGCTGTTGGCGTCTTCTAACGCGGACTGGAGAGCTTCCCGAGCAGCGCGCTCGCTGGCGCCGGCGAGCGCGCGGGCGGCCGCGGCCCGCACCGCCGCGTCCGGGTCGGCGAGCTGGTCGGTGAGCACGTCGGCCAGGCGGTCGGCGATGCCCAGCGTCGCCGCGATCTCGAGCGTCCGCAGCCGCTGCGTCGGCGATGCGGCTAGGAGGTCGCTCTTGACCGCCGCCGCGCAGTGAGGGTCCGCCTTGCCGACCAAACGGCCGTGCGTCCGCCGTGCCGGCTCCTCGAGGTGGTCGTACTCGGCCCGGAACGATGCGTAGTTGACGTCGGATAGGCAGCCCTGAGCCGCCTGCTGGACTTCCTCGTGGTCGTGGTCGAGGAGCGCGATCAGCTTCTCGCGCGAGCCTCCGATGCCCCGGTTGCGGAGCTGAGTGGTGGCCGCCGCCACCACGCCCGGGTCGGAGTCACGCAGCGCGCTGGCGATCAGCGTCGACGCGACCCGTGAGTTGACCTTGCCGATCACCTGGCAGGCGGCGATGCGGCCACCAGTCTGACCGGACTCGATCATCAGCTCGCACAGCGTCGTGAGCCGCCGCTTGCTCATGGCGGTCGCCGCGGCCAGCTTGAGGGCGTTGGCCTGCAGCGGGCCGGGCAAAGCCAATAGCAGGCCTTCGTGAGGCTCCTCCGCCCAAGCGAAACCGGCGAGCCCGCGGGCCGATTCCAGGGCTCGCAGCGGCGGCCGGTCGCCCAGCTCGCCGAGCAGGTGTTCGACAAACGGCCGGTCGGTGCGAGAGGTGAGTAGCCCTACGAGCGGCGCGGCGGGGTGGTCCTGCAGCAGCGTCCGCGACACGATCTGCATCGCGCCTGGCGCCGTGCTGCTGGCCAAAGCGTCGAGCAGCGGCTGGTGAGCAGCGTGGGTTGCGTCCGTCAGCACGCGGCGGAGCACCAGGTCGTCGGGCACAGCGAGCAGGGCGAAGGCTTCGACGAGCTCCACGTGCCGGTGGTTTGAGAAGCTGTCGACCGCGCGCACCAACGAGTTGAGCGCGGCGCGGCGGGCGAACGCCGGGTCCTCGGCCGGGGGATCCGCGTCGTCGGTTGGGGGATGGATCTGCTCCGACAGGTTCTTCGCTAGCTGCAGAGCCGTTGTGGCGAGGCCCAGACCGTACGGGTGATTGGCCTGACTGGCTTGCTCGGCTAGGACCGGCAGGACGTGCGGGTCGCACGTGTCCTGCGCATAGCGGCAGGCCCGCTTGCACAGCAGCACGTCGTCCCCCTTCAGCGCGGCGATGACTCCAGGGCGGAGTCGGCGGGCCGCTGGCCGGGTCGCAACGGCCTGCTGCACGTCAGCGGGGGTCTCGGGAAGCGCAAGCAGCAGGGCGCGGGCGGCGGCCGCGCCCCTCCTCCGGCTTAGCGCGCGGGCCGCCGACCCGCGCACGACGGGCTCGTCCGACCGCAGCCCCGCGTCAAGCACCTCGATGGCGGACGGGTTGGGGGTCTTGGTCAGCAGAAGGAGCGTTCGTTCTAGGCCTCGGTTTGCGGCCATGCGTATCCGGGGTGGGCTGGTGGACGCTAGCGGGCGCGCAGCGGCGCCCGCAAGTAGGATCGGCCGGCGGCGGCGGCGGTTGCGACACAAACAGCGGTTGGTGGGGTTATGACGGTCGAGTTGCGTCGCCGGCCCGATCGGGCGAAGATGCACCTGCCCGCCGTGTTTTCAGGCCGCCGCCCGCTGATTCAACTGAGATAGTGCCATGGCCACCGCCCGCTCCGCTGAGCAGATCCTGGACGACGAGTTCTTGACCGTCCGCGCGAAGCTGCTCGAGGTGGCGGCGGCCTTCGACCGGTTCGACCGCGGATCGGGCGACGTCAAGGCAGATCCCCGCCACGCGACGCTTGTCGAGGCGGCCGGGCTGTTGATGACTCGTGGGCCAGACCGCGCCGAGCGGCTGCAGCTGCTGTTCAGCCGTGAGTACGAGCCAGGGTGGCGCAGCGAGATGGGCGTCCGTGCGGTAGATCGGGGATAGCAGATATGGACTACATCGACCCTCACATCCACATGGTCAGCCGCACGACGGACGATTACCGCACGCTCGCCCAGATGGGCTGCGTTGCGGTGAGCGAGCCCGCGTTCTGGGCAGGGTACGACCGCGGCGGCGTGGAGGGTTTTCGTGACTACTTCGAGCAGCTTACTGCGTTCGAGCCGAAGCGGGCTGGCTGGTACGGGCTGCAGCACTACACCTGGCTGTGCATCAACGCCAAGGAGGCCGAGGATGTGCAGCTGTCGCGCGAAGTGATCGCGATGATCCCCGAGTTCCTCGAACGGCCCGGCGTGCTGGGGATCGGCGAGATCGGGCTCAACAAGAACACCAAGAACGAGGCCACCGTGTTCCTGGAGCACGTCGACCTCGCGATGCGGACGGACGAGCTGATACTAATCCATACGCCCCACCTGGAGGACAAGCACCAAGGCACGCGGATGATCCTCGACATGCTGACCGGTGACAGCCGCATCCAGCGGGAACGGGTTCTGGTGGATCACGTCGAGGAGCACACCATCCGCGCCGTCCGCGATGCGGGCTTCTGGGCCGGCATGACGCTCTACCCGACCTCCAAGTGCACGCCCGAACGCGCCTGCGACATGGTGGAGGTCTACGGCCCCGACCGGCTGATGGTCAACTCGGCGGGCGATTGGGGCCCGTCGAAGCCGACCGCCGTGCCGGACTTTATCCTCGAGATGCGCCGCCGCGGCCACTCGGAGTCGCTGATCCGGAGGGTGGTGTACGAGAACCCGCT